GGGGACGCCTCATCGGGACTCGAACCGGCAACCTTCCGGCTTGTAGCATACTGCCTCATGTAATACACACCAAATTCTGTATCACATACAAGGTTACGCTGTCCCTGTACTTCATAAATTCCGCACCACGCCATGAAGACGTATGTGGGAGTGGTGCTATAACTCCACCATTCTTGACCTCGGCACTAGATGGCGGGTGGTTAGCTTCGCGCCCCGGTCGCTTTACTTCCGGTACCCATTGGATTGGGGGCTGGGTGGGCCCCCGTGCCGGTCTGAACACTATGGAGAAGACAAAAATGTCATGGCCTTGCCGGGAAACGAACCCCGGCCGTCCAGCATGTAACCCGTCGCTATACCGGCCGTCCTGTCCCTTTTCCCATTCTGTATTGCGTAAGTTACAAAAATATGTTAACCTTTCAATTTATAATAGATTATCTCTTCGAGTCAAGGACTAACATTGCGCTGAACCATGACAAAATAAATATGAGAGCCACATCGCTTACACCACAAAACAGCACAAAGCACTAAAGTCCACAAGGCAGATCGAATTGAGAAACAGCGTTGCAATTGAAAGAATCGAGAGATCGAGTGGATCGAGAGCAATCGAGAGCCGAGAGTGTGCCATGGAAGTTTGTTGATGTGTCAAATCATGACTGCGGCTGGAGTGTTTATGATTTCTCTTGCTGGACAGATTGAAAGTGCCGAATTTCATGAATTCGATGATATATATTGCAAATACTGTTTTGTATATGGTCCTGATTGGGTTGTTACTTCGGTGAGATGATTTTCGTATTTATGGTATTTTTCCGCTGGTTATCATGTATGAGGGATTTGAAGTTCTCACGGCGGTATGAAGAATATGGTCTTCTGGGATGCTACGCCGTGTAGTGGAGGCAGTGGGTTCCTCCGAAACGTTGATACCACGTACGAAGCAGCACAGCGTCACATCTCAGAAGATCCTAATCGTGAAGTTTTTTATGGTAGAGGTTAAGAATATTGTGCGGATCTGCATACCATACCTGTTTGTCCTCAAGGTGACGCCTCATTACTTATTGGCATTAAAGTAAATGTCTTTAATGAAACTACTAGATACAGTTAGTTAAAATAAGCAAAGCGAAGATGATTCATTTTAGAGTTACCAAATTGTCTTGTACAAAGGTGATTAGAAAAATTTCTGGTTCCCCCCACAGTTGAATTTAGTATGGAAGGTTACGGGTGTATCATTCTTCTACATAGTCCGCAACCATATGAACGCTCTTGTCTGGAGGTCCACAAGGTTTCTCTGATGCCATCAGAAAAAAACTGCTTGGGCTGAGTGTGAAGCCAGTCATGCACTGTTTTCTTCACATCATTGTCTACAAATCAGTGACCTCCAAGAGCCCCCATTAGAGGTCCAAATAGATGGAAATCCAAAGGTCTAGACTGTATGCTGGATTGCTGAGAGGTTCAATTTTCAGCTCCTGGAGATTTTCCTTAGTATGGGCACGTGTATGAGGTCAAGCGTTGCTGTGCAAGATGAGAAGACCTTATAATAATGTTCTTCATTGTTTTGTATGAATGACTGGCCTCACTTCAATTCATAAACATGTTAGAATACCTTGCACTTGCTAATGTCATTGAGAATCATGACCCTGGCTTGTTCCTGTTTGTTGCCATTTGTTGCTATGGTTGGCCATCCAGAGCATTCTGAATCAGTTATGCTTGCCCTGCCTCTCTTAAATATTTCTGTGTGTTTGTACACACTCCATAAATGTAATGAACTGTCCCCATACTGAGCATAACATCTGTGAATTTCAACCCCTTTAACATCCTCTGCCCACAGAAACAAACCACAGCCCTCAGTTCTTTGGTGCAAATTGAAATTGGTGCAGCCATGCTCTCTGCTTGTCTGCAGCTTACTCAGTGTTTCCAAGGCTATGTCAGGCAGTGTACTGATNCCATAAATGTAATGAATTGTCCCCGTACCATCATCTGGAGACAGCAGCAAAAGTGCAGATACTTTTTGAATCACCTTCATACTTTCACTTGATAAAGATGCTTAGGGGATAGTTGTGATTATTACATTGGGAAAGGTGAACTGTGAAGTTGAAATTTAGGGTTTTGATGTTTGTGAAGATTCATAGCGTGATCTTCGGGGTTATAACACTATACAGTCTAGTAACGGTCATTAAATTTTGAAACCGTACTGCCTCCATTTTAAATTTAAAATCTCTGGAGCTGAGGGCTGTAATAAGAGTTTTCTAATTATTTAGAGACATATCACTTGAGAAGAATTCGGTCATCTGGGACATAACACCATGTAGAGCAGCAACTTTCACTGGACTACATGACATATCCCAGAAGACAGATCTCTTCATATCCACTACTGTGAGAACCTCAAAACCAGCATGGTTGTTCTGCATGGGGAGGCCACTCTTAACTACTGTTCCCTGTCTATCCTCCTGAGGCACAGAGAAGGTTGGCTTTCAACAGCATGATGTTAAATTCCATAAGATAGAACTCTTCATAGCCACTGATGTGAGAACCGTAGATCCAGCTTGTCATATTAGAGCTGCTTGGAACATTTTACCACAACAGATGCTTACAAAAGTTTGCATATAAAAATCCTTTATTGAATTAAATTTCACTATCCTTACTAGTAGTCCTGCACTACTGCTACCATATGAACCTGTTTGACTAGAAATTAAATGTTTGTTTATATTACATGTGATCCTCTAGTATGATAACCCATTTACAGCAGTGGGTATCACATATAGGTAGACAGTGATGGTTTAACTTTGGAGAACAGAACTTGATAGCTGTGGTGTAATGGTAAGCAGGACTACTAGCAGTTGTTGAGTGGAATCTGATGTCCATTTCTAGGGACTGGAAGAAGGCATTTCTCAGATTGTAAAGAGAAGTAGAGATGAGAGACAACTGTTTGTATGGAATTTCCCACTGGATGTCACATTCAAGAGTACAAATCCTCATGGCTGTAAGTTCTGTTTATTGTACTGATGTTATTAGAGGATATTTTTGACATATTTTAATGATAGATACTTAATTTGTATTTGTATTTTTATCAGATCGGGGCACGCGGTAGCGTAGTTGGTTGAGGGGCTATGCTACAAGCCGGAAGGTCATGGGTTCAAGTCCCGATGAGGTCATTGGATTTTTTTCAATTGACCTAATCCTTCCAGCCGCACTATGGCCGTGGGGTCAACTCAGCCTCTAACAGAAATGAGTACCAGGAATTATGATTGTAATTAAATAATTTTCCTGGGGAGTAAAGTGCGGCCGGCCCGTAAGGCTGACAGCCTTACCTCCATCTTTGAGCCGATTGTCTAGATAATGTGGGACCCTCAACATCTGACAACCCTATGAGCCTTCGTGGACCGGTACAGGGATAGCTTTACTTTTACTATTGTTATCAGATCATTCTCTGACATTAAGTGTATGGTATGGAAGAGCATAAGATATAAATTTTAGTTTTCTGTTCTGTGAGGTATATTTACAAACGTACTGACATAATCATAAAGTAATATATTATGTGGCTGTAAAACTGTATTACAGGCAGCAGAGAAAGAAGTTTGGAAAGTACAACAGTGTATCACATGTAAACAAATAATACAATCTACATGCATTATCTTCACCTTTTGATCATAATATACATTATAAAATGTAAAGCTGTCCCTGTAATAGGCCATGAAGGCCCATAAGGTTGTGAGGGTTTAGGTAAATTGAAAAAAAAAAAATCCCCCTTATCAGGACTCGAACCCTCTGGCTTGTAGCATAGTGCCTCAACCAGCTATGCTACTGCGTGCCCCAGTTAAGAATAAGAAGACAAAATAACTGAAACAAACTGTGTGATTTTAGTCCTCAAGCAAACTATACCGACAGAGCAACCGCCGCTTGTTGGCGAAGTTTAGTGCCAACTTTTGTGGATAGAGGGTGTCGCGTGGTCAGCACAATGAATCACCATGGTCGTTAATTTCAGTTTTCTAGACCAGAGCCGCTATTTCCTTGAAATAGCTCCTCAGTTATGAGGCTGAGTGGACCCCGTTGCAGACCAACTACTTCTCCGAAAAAATCTGGTAGCGCCGGGAATCGAACCCATATCTCTGGATCTGTAGCCAGGAATGCTGACCACTAGACCACAGAGGTGGTCTAGTTAAGAATAAGATCTGAAAATAATATATGCATAAATAAAAGTCTCAGTCTAGATCAAAATATGCACTGCATGTTTAAGTATCTTACATGCTTGTTGTGATTGGCTTAAATTAGAAATCTTTAGAAAGGGCATATGTTGACTAAAGACTTTTATACTGGTGAGGTGTTAGTATTTCTGACTTATGACCTAGGTACCGTGGTTGTAACTTTCATTGTAATAAGACTAGGCTTAGGCCTTTAATACCAGTGAACAGAGAAAAAACTGCGGATATGGTTTTGTCATAAGTTGAAATTTGAAAAATCTACTTTTAGCCCTGCTTACCTGGTGCTAGAGATGTACATATAATCAGTGGTTCTTGAAAGTTTTAATGTGTCTCATGAGAATATACCTGACTTTAGATGCGATAATTCAACTTACTAGGAATTTTCATTTCATACATGTTATTTAGAAATTCTAATGGAGAGTTTATTTTAATATATATTCCACTTATATCAAATTAACAGTTTAAGAAACATAATTTAGTAGGATTAAGAAATCAGTGGAATTAATCCGTTTACTGCAGAATTATTGTGCGTCATAAATGATTTGTATTATACTTTTGGCAAGAAGTTCACGCACGCTCATTACATTTTATTTCTCAAATCAACCAGTCTGTGCTATATACTGGGCATTTAAAGTGTCCAGTACAGACTTTATCACAAACCACTTACCCAGATAAGTATTATTACATTTTATGGATGCGTACATAGAAGCTAATAGGTATTAAACATACAGTCAACTCTCGATTATCCGGGCTAATGGTGGGGATGGAAGTCACGGTTAATCGAAAACCCGGTTAAGCCAAATTTTATTATACGGGCTGGACGACTGTGAAGGGTCGGAGTTCGAGTCCCGGTAGGGTCAAGAATTTTAACTTCTCCAAATCGTCCAGACCGGCTCTGGGGTCCATCCAACCTCCTATCCAATGGGTACCGGGGGCTCTTTCCCCGGGGGTAAAGCGGCCGGGGCGTGAAGCTGACCACTCACCTCCAACTAGTGCCGAGGTCAAGAAAATTTGGATCTATACATCCACTCCCC